GCAGAGGGCGTGGAGGATACCGCGGTCGTCGTGGTTATGGCTATCGTGGCCGTGGTCGTGGTCGTGGGGGGCAGCGTCGTAGTGCGTCCGAAGGTGAACAGCAAGAAGGTGGTGAAGGTGAAAATAATTTTGGAGGACGTGGGAGAGGTCGGGGACGTGGTCGTGGAGGTACTTATATTCATGTTTGCTTACATGCTGTTGCAAATCTTTAGAAGAATTTTTAAGTTTTGAATTTTTCTTGCAAGTCTGCAGCTTTTCCTGGCTTGCAAGTGAGGTGGTTTCTAATATGCTGAGATTTATGGCTGTATACCAGTTTCAAATCAATTAACTGTGCTCTTCCTAACCATTTTTTAATTCTACAAATCGTATTTCTCCGTGCAGGTCGTGGCCGTCGCGGAGCACGTGCTGAGAAGACCCAGAGTGAGAACGCTGATAACGGAGAGGCGAAAACTCCAGAAAGTGGGGAGCCGAAAACCCCCTCTAAAACTGAGAAGAATGATAAGAGCACTCCACAGAAGGAGAAATCTCCAAATGAAACATCTGCTTGAAAATTTTACATCAATTGAAGTTTGTAAGGGTTTGAAAATTCTAAGTGGGACTACCCTACTTCGTTTTAAAGGTTTATGTTAAGGTTTCGTTTGTTTCAGGCAGGTTATTTAACGACTTATTCGTGAAAGTTTTGGTTTTTTGGAGGATATCATGTATCGTTCATGCAAAGTTTAAAACTGGATCAGTGCTAACGGTTTCGCCTTATCTTTATCCCAGTAGTAAATCACTTGTGCAACTATTGTTAGACTTTAGTAGTTTTCCATCGGAGAAATTTTAGTGCGAAGTACTGTTCGAATAAATCTGTCTGGATTTAGGCTTTGCCGGTAAATGCACCAACGCAAACTTTGCCGCAGTTGAGATTACCATCGAATTGTTTGAAAACAGCTTCATTTGTCATCACCACTTAGAAACATCTGTCTAATAACATTTTTCTTTTGTTTTAGTTATAAACAAACGGT